GCTGGATTAAAGTAAGTAGCTGAAGGGGTTTTAACCCCACAAAATCCAACGCATAGATAGAGCCTCTCAAGCCATTTGGCATCTAGCAGGGCCTCACCCATCACCAACCTTGTTTAATGGTTTCGCCACTTGGCATAGCTAGTAAGCCATGATATTGTAAGCGTATACACAACTACTTCATGCTGTTTAACATATCTCAACGACAGGAAGGTGGAGAGTCCTGTCCAGGGCCGCCATCAGAAATTGTGGGGCCCCTAACACAGCTCAAGGTCTTGGCCCCTGGGTGCCCGCCTCCAAGCCCCACCTCCAAATCCCGCCCACAGGAATACACACACACAGACACAAAAGGACACAGACACACGAACAGAAAGATACACACATACTAACAGACACAAATACTGAAACAGACATACACACATAGACACATACATAGATACAAATACACACACACTGAGGTACATACATACTCATATACTGACACACATATATACAGACATACAGACATACAAACAGACAGACAGACATACACAAAAATACATATTGACGTACATGCATACATACATACATACAGGCATGCACGCACATACATACATACATACATACATACAGACAGACATACATACACACACAGACATACATACTGATAGATATATACATACACACAGACATACACACACACATACATACTGACACAGACATACACACACACATGCATACTGACATACACGCATACTGACAAACAGACATACATACATACACACACACACACACACACACCATACATACTGCGACACATACACACATGCATACAGACACATACACACAGACATATATACTTACTGACATACATACACACATACATACTGACACACACAGACATACATACTGACACACACACAGACATACATACATACATACACAAGCTGCGCTTGTCTGTGATAACGCCCCCTGCCGTGCTTAACACACATCCAGACAATAGGGCAGGGCAGGGCAGGCCAGCACCTCCAGGCCATGTGCCCAATTTGGACACCCAGAATTTGAATGGGGCAGACCCATCAGTTACTTCACTGTCTCAAAAAAAGGTGAATTTGTCAAACAACAATGTAAGAGTAGTATTTAAGGGTTTTATTGGACTGCAAGAAATGCACCGCAGGCCGCAAATGTTCTATTTAGCACAAAAAAGTGTGATTTTTTAACCCCTTAAGGACACATGACATGTGTGACATGTCAGGATTCCCTTTTATTCCAGAAGTTTGGTCCTTAAGGGGTTAAACCAACAATGTAAGTAGTATTTAAGAGTTTTACTGGACTGCAAGAAATGCACCGCAGGCCGCAAATGTTCTATTTAGCACAAAAAAGTGTGATTTTTTTAAAACCAACAATGTAAGAGTAGTATTTAAGGGTTTTATTGGACTGCAAGAAATGCACCGCAGGCCACAAATGTTAATTTTTCAAAGTGCGATGTAACCACAGTATTTGACGGTTCTATTTGACTCTCAGATATGAAGTGCACGCCACAAATGTACTTTTTAGCACCAAAAAAATTGAATTTGTCAAACTGCAATGTCACAGCAGTATTTAAAAATGCCTAGATGTTGCCCACTGAGCTACCAGAACAGGATTAAAGTAATGTGCCTGGCACACATGCAGTTGCAAGTGCCCACCTAACAAACAGACTGATTGCTTATTTCTCTGTGGCACTGGGCTCAGGGCAGGGTACAAAAATGTAGTATAGCACCCACAAAAATAATCACTGTAGTTTGCAGATTCAACACCAGAATTCTTTCCTAATCTGTCCCTCACAGCTGCAGCATCCTCTCCCTACACTAATAAGAGCTCATGTGACTCCAGCTTATATAGAGGCTGGGTCACATGCTGCACTGGCCAATCAAAGCCATGCCATTAGTAGGCATGGCTGTGATGGCTTCTAAGGGCACACAAGTCAAACGCTTGTTGATTGGCTGCCCTGCAGCTTTTCAAAATGCGCCATTAAATCGCCGAACACCGAACTCGAACCTGAACTGTTACTAAAATGTCCGGGTTCGGGTCAAAAAAATCTTAATGTTCAGTACGAACCCAAACTTTACAGTTCGGGGTCGCTCATCTCTAGCTACGACTGTATAATACTTCATATGTTTCTCAACTATGTCATCTGAGTGCAGCAATATCCCAATATGTACCTTTGCCAGGTACATGTGGATATGTAAGGGGCACATTTGAGACACAGTCATTCCATTTTTTTTCAAACTTTTTTTTAGCAGGCTATATAAAAGAAGACATCCCAGGGTATTTCAAAATGCATATTTAGAAGCTTAGCGTTTGATAATTTTTCCGCTAGCTTGTACCAAGTGTAGTGGTAATAAACATTTTGTCTGCCTTTTTGACACATAAAGTGAGTTTGCACAATATATTTTGCAAACCTTATGTGTGCTACGACTGTATAATACTACATATGTTGTTCAGCTATGTCGTCTGAGTACAGCAATACCCCTGTATGTACCTTTGCCAGGTATATATGGATTTTGAAGGGGCAGATTTGAGATGCAGCCATTCAGTTTTTTCTAACTTTTAGGTTTTACGCTGTGTCCATGTTCCATTTTGGAGTAGTTTAGCTGGTTTGTTATTCAAACTTCCCCACAAACACATACTACTTATTAAAGAATACACCCTGGGGTATTTCAAAAGGCATATTTTGAAGCTTGGCGTGGGATTTGGCATTTTTTCTCTAGTTTGTTCCAGGTGTAGTGGTAATGAGCATTTTTAAATGTATTTTTTAATTTTTTAAACTTTTTTCACTTTTTTAAACTCGTTTTTAAAACTTCTTTTTGCTTATTAAATTTTTTAAACTTTCCAAAACTTTCTTAAAACTTTTTTTACACATTTAACATTTTTATAAACTTTTTTACCGTTAACCCCTAACAAGCAGTAAGCGGCACTAACAGTAAATTCCCCAATTTCCCATAACTCCCACTAACCCCAGCTAGCAAAATATATAATTTTAAAATATTTAAATTAATTAATGAAATAAATTGAATCCATGAGGGTTAAAATAAATAAATAAAAGTTGACCATCAGGGGGTAAAAATAAATAAATCAGATCACAGTAAAATGTAGTCCCTGCCAATTGATCAATTGGCAGGGAAGGGGTTAATTTTTATTTAAAATTGGTAAAGGCGGGTGGGATTTTAAATAAACTTTATTTTTTTACACAGGGAGAAAATCACCGCTGATCCGTCTCCCTGCACTTCACACTGGACGCGGAAGAGCAGGGAGGTGGGTCAGAAGTTCCTGCAGCACATGTGCTCGCTTTGACAGCGTGTCAGAGTGATCACTGCTGCAGGGACAGCGCGATTGGGTGCTCCTGGTCTGCCTTGAATACAGTGGCAGACCGGAGGAGTGTTAACCCAGCAATTGCCGCAATCGTGGCCATCTGGGGTTAACGTTAGTGGATGACGGACACAGTCCATCATCCGGCGTTAACTGCTTGCCAGGCACTAAGGGGTTAAAACTAGGTACTGGGCAGTCATTGTTGCTAGAAAACAACCCATAACAGGGGATGGGGCTTGTGAAATAACAAGAAAGAACGTGGACATCGGGTGGAGGACATTCAAAATTTATTGGGGAGAACAAATCATTGCCCATCACCCTGACCCCACCTGTGGCTAGATGGAGGTTATTATAATATAAGAATATAATAAGAGATGGCAGATGGGGGCCCTAATAATAATAATACTAAAAGTGTTAAGGAGCTTATGTCCTCCAAGTGGCCCACACCCACTGGCAGTGGGTAAAGGCCCTAATAGTAAAATTCAAGGAGGAGGACCCAATGACTTCCCCCAGCCTCCACACATTTGCCAACCAATCAGAGCACTCTGACTGCCATGTTTCAAGAAAAAAAAGTCAGTTTTCAAAAACAAATATGTTAAAATTGATATTGTAATTTATCTTTATAAGTTTAAAATGGCAATGTGATAATATGTAAAGACAAAGATAATGTAAAAGATGTAATTTTATTTTGTTTTAATCTATGTCTATTTCAGGAAACTTTACAGATGTGAAACCAAAATGTAGAATTGGGATGTCTAAGCCATATCCAAGTGGATATTTTTTAAATAATTTATGGCACTCAAACTTCTGCAACCTTTCTTCTTTTGAACCATTGTCTCAAATCAATGAGTGTTTAACTGGGAAATTGATATACCTTATGGGAGATTCAACACTTCGTCAGTGGATTGAATACTTCCAAAAACATATGAAGAGTAAGTGTTTACATTAATTGCTCTTATACCTATATATAGATACTTTTCTAGACAAAAGTACATGGTAACTGTTGCGCATGCACACTAGCTCCTCAATGCTTCCCTATGGTGAAACATTGGATTGGCTAAAACCATCAGTAATGATGATCTCTGCACAGAGAAAGTGATGAGAAGTGCCCACCAAGAGAAATAAGGTATAAATTTCACCATACTTACCGTAATTTTCTTTTCCTGGATATATCCACGGCAGCATTACGATAGGTTTAGCTCCGCCCACTTGGCTGTTTAGGACAGGAAATAAAGGTATAAATACTCCTCCTTCTAGACTGGATCTCCAGTCTAGTTACAAGCTCCTAAAAAATAAATTTATACAGAAGGGAGAGATGCAATGCTGCCATGGATATATCCAGAAAAAGAAAATTACGGTAAGTATGGTGACATTTTTTTATTCCTGGCTAATCCATGGCAGCATTACGATAGGGTAATACCCAAGCTCAACATCTGATGGGAGGGAAATAAACAAGCACCCACCAATAATTGTAAAATCAGTTAAGAACAAGCAAACTCTGGACTGCAGAGTTTATGGGAAACTTCCCAAAATTTAAAATAAGGCCACTTTCTTGGAGTATCCAATTTGTGAAATTTGAATAGAGAACAGAAAAACTGTTACAGTCATCTGGCTATACCATAGATATCACATGACTAACCACCCGTTTCTAGATTGCCAAATCATAATGAAATCAGCAATTTACAATATCCAGGAATCTAACACCTGTCCATTCCTGGACAACAGCATCGAATTATACAGATCTGAAAGATATACCAACAAATGAGCAGGAGAAATAAACCAGGCTACGGAATTAATCTTAGATTATCATGTACAGTAAGAAAAAACACTTGCCTCCAGGCAAAGGCAACTGCAGAGGTACCCAAATTAGTGTTCGATAGGAGGAACAGGGAATCAGACCTCTAACCCAAATAAGCATTGGCATCCTGTTAAGTGCAAAATGGGAGGAAAAGGTATTAGATATAAAATAGTAGAGGAACAGTGGCAGAAACCAACCGTGAGGGAATAGGCCAGGTTATACAGGAATAGTTTCAAGTCTGAGAACAACTACAGCATCAGGGAAGCTGCTAATTCTTTCAGTTTCTCAGAGATCAGAGACTAACATAACCTCGTAAAAAAATTTTTAAATAGAGCATTCTCTCAAGGAGAGAGACACTACCTGGATGCTATAGGAAAACAGAAATACAGGAACAATTCAGTAATGTAGTATCGTAATAGGTAGAAGACTATATAGTGACATCTGAGAACAGAAAATTCAATAAGAACGGAGTTAAATGAAATTGCGTGAGACATACCTTATTATGACACTAAGTTCAAGGTATCAAAGCATTGCAAATATCAGGATATTCTTTATACTTGGATTGTTTCAAAAACATTATGAATGGTAAGACAAGACACGGTTACCAGTAGGTATCAGATAACCGGCAAACTGTGGTTAAAAACGCAATTGAAAAAAGTTAATCAAACATGATGAAATTAGGTAGATAAATAATAAGTGCAAAAACAGACACATCATCTGAACAGATACTGCATCTATCCAAAACATAATGTGAAAATTCTCTGGACATTAAATCCAAAATA